TAAAACAAAATATCTTTATGATAACAGATTCTGATTGATGATGAAGATCCCCAGTAAGTGTAAGCAAAGCACACCACCCTCTATGTAACTCTAGTGAGTTTGCACATCAGTCCCTTCAAAGCCGTCCCTAACTAACATAGGCTGGCTTCATAGCTAAGGAAGAAGTACAGCCTTGCAGGGCCATGCACTCAAAAGGCCTCTCTGCCTGAGTTTAGTGCCCTTTCAACAAAATTCTTAAGGGTTTTATGTTTGTACTGGTATTTTGTAAGTGAAGTCTGTGAGATAATGGAGCATGAGCTTTGGCTCAGAGCTGCTTTTGTGTTACCCTATCTCCTGCTGCATGCGCACCTTACTGGTGGGATTCTTGGCCATTAGCTGATGTCTGTTCAGTTTCAGTTCTTCAGAGACATTCCCTAACATGCCACAGTAGGGGTTGAAGACTTTTTCTGTAAAAGACCAGACAGTGAAATCGTTTAGCTTTGTGGTTGTTGTAGTTTCTAGCAACTACTCACCTGCTATAGCAGGAAAACATCCATAGCTGGCACACAGAAGGAAGGGCAGTGCTCTGTCCCAATAAAATTTTATTTAGGGACAGAAATATTTGAGTCTCATGTTGTTTTTCCATGCCAGAACTATAATTATTCCTCATATTTTTAAAAACTTTTAAATATGGAAGAAACATTTCTAGCTTTCAGCCTCCTCTACCAAAATATCCAGAAGCCTGGGTTTGGTCTCTGAGCTATAGTTTTCTGACTCCTTTCATGTATTCATATGTGAGTTGGAAAATAAGAGATAAGAGCTCTGGACCTCAGGCAATGGAGATGTTTCAGAGAGCAGAAGCCATGGAAAAGACAGCTCATTTTACATGTTGACACTTGGAAAATTCCATTTATCATTTCAGCGAATCTGTGAAATTTTCTTATACTTAATGGCTCTTCAGAATTCCATTCAAGTACTTAAAAATTAGAATGCATTAGAATAAAAATTGTTGTGAATGTTAAAGACCCACCCTCTTTCATATCCACTTTTAATATTGTACCATCTCTTTATTCTTTTCTCCCACTATTGTTATTTCATTTCTCCTTTTCAATCAATCCTGCTTTTGTCTTTCATGTTTTGCGGCTCCTTCTGCTTTTCCCTAGATTTGACCATATGAACTTTTTTTTCTTATCTAAACCCTTCTGCAAACTTCTCATGTAATCTTAAATAAATCATCTGGCCACTCTCAGCCACTGCATTCTATACTAGTTGGGTTAAAAAAATGCTAGCAGACACAACAGACAATCCCATAATCTTAATGGCATAAGATAATGGAAGTTTGTGAAAACTTCTCATAAAGCCCAATATGGGCTGCACGACCCTCCTTCAACCCATATCTACATAATCTGGATGTTAAGGGAGAGGGTAGAGACAGTTCCCATCTGTAAACAGTCACTTGTTAACAGCCATGTGGCCCATATCAACTGCAAGAAGGCCTATGAAATAAAGGGAAGCTGTGGCTCTGGCTGTATTGACACTAAAACAGTTAGCAAACTTACTCCTTAAGTTGAGTTGCCAAGTGTCTTCCCTAAAGAGTCAGACAGTGAATATTTTAGGTGCTGTAGATAATATGGTCTCTCTCACAACTACTCAATTCTGCCCCTATAGAGGAAGCCCAGCCAGAAACAAGCCAATGAATGGCAATGGACGTAGCTTTGTTCTAATAAAACTTCATTTGCAGAGATAGGAAGGGCTAGATTGGACCACAGGCCATAGTGTACTGATTCCCATCTCAGAGCATGACTACCATAACAGTTCTTACTTATCATCACTTCAGATGCTCAATGAGCTTTCAGCAATTTCTTCTTCTTCAATATTCCACATATTGTCTAATAATAACCAATAGTTTTAAAGAAGTAAATGAGAATGAGGTTAGAAGATCACTGATTTTTGGTTTCCCTGGAATTTCATTCAGCTGGCCTCCTTTCCTCCAGACATTTCCTTTGAGGATATTTTTCAGTTATATCAAAGCCCTCTGCTCAAAGAAAAGGAATGTACTTACTAAGCAGTCTAAACCAGGTCTCAGGAGCACACACACTTCTTGTGTGTCTCTAGCAGAGAGGTGTATACATCTGTGTTTCCCATGGAGAGAGAGGGATAGGCTTGTCTGTTGGCATCCACCCAACTGAGAAGCTGCTTACTTTACCATGGGCTTCTTACTTAGAATCAGTGGTCATAGCCCACCCATCAGACACCAAGTCCAAGAGAGTTAACCACATTACCGTCTCCTAAGAATATGGATATATCCAATTTTGTTTCTACTGCTTAATTACAATGTCTTGGCTGGAATTCTGCAGCATTTTCTTAACTAGTCTCTCTTTCGCTGTCTTTCTTAGACCAAACCATTCTCTAGACTGCTAAAGTGAGTTTATTAAAATACAAACCCAATTACGAAGCACTCTTTGTCAGAAATCATTCATTGGTTACTTAAAACATTCAGGTTAAAGATCCCTGCCTTGAGACAGGGATTAGCTCAGTGGTTTCACCGCCTGCTGCGCAAGCACAAGGACCTGAGTTCCATCCCCGGTACAAAAAAAAAAAAAAAAAAAAAAAAAAAAAAA